AACGAACTCCTGGGCACAGTCCTGCCCCATCACCCAGACCCCGTCCTCGGACTCACCTCTTCCCCACCCCTTACGCCAGAGCCCTCATCCCTGCTCCCAGCTGCGATTACCCTCTAGCCCAGTGGTTCCCCACCATTTTTTGGCCATGCCCCACTTAAGCACCTCTAAAACCCTGATGCCCACCCACCCCGTGACATATAATTATTATTATTCAAAAAGTGAACTCCTATTCACGTGGAGGAAGCCTAAGAGGGCATTAACTTGGTCTAAACAAACTTCCAAAGAACATGGCATCCATGAAAGAGAAAAATAAAAGAATGAAAGGACAATTGATGTACTGAGGAAGAAATCACTAAGAAATTGTTTTTTTTAAAAAAAGAAGTGATATGAAAAAAATAGCAATAAAGTTTCAAAACATTAGAGAACTGAAATGCATAAATATGTCACAATATATATTTATATACTGTATATAAGGTCCCTAGAACCATAAAAATGCAAAAAAAGTCATGGTTAATAACTCATTCTTGAATTGCCCCCCTAAAAAAATCAAATCACCTCCCACGTTGGGAACCACTGCTCTATCCCCTAACCTTCCCCCTCCATGACGCTGATGCCTACTTCCCCACAAGCTTGGACTCAGAAAGATCTCCCCCATAATGAACTCGCCGGCGCTGCTGCCCAGTGACCTGCCTGGACCTCAGGCCCTCGAGGCCTGGGCTGCCTCCCTCAGAGTGCGTGGTGCGGTGGGCAGGGCCAGGAGCCCTGGGTTCAAGTCTCTGTTCCATTCTTGGCTAGCAGCTGTTCTTGAGCAAAGCATTTCCCCTCTGAGAGCCTTCAGTTTTACCTTCTGAGAGAATGGATAATAACTGAGGTCCTGCTGACCTCACAAGGTTGCTGTACTAGTGAGTATGAGCATGCTTTGTAGCCTAAGAAACCTACACAAACGTAATCATAACAGCTGCTATTTCATGAGGGTCTACCGTGGACCAGGCACTTAACACACAAAACGCACATGAGGTAAGTATCTTTTTGTCCACAGATGAGGAGAACCCGGGTAAGAGAGGTTAGGTAACTTGCCCTAGGTCACACAGCTAGGGAGGTGCAGACCAGGATTCAGGAGCTGGTGCCAAATTCGAAGCTGATTGGACTCTGCCTCCCTCTCGTAAGTGAAGTGTCATGATGTAATTATCTTCAGAGCCGTAATTAGCACAGCTTGGGCCCCTGAACTCTGCCTGCCCGCCATCTGCTTTGTCCAGGACTCAGAGGGGAGTACACGCTGCACTCCTTAGTTCCAAACCCTTGTTTCGTCCCCGCTTCAATTTTGACTGTGTGATAGGCGCGAGGGCTTCTGAGTTCAGTGCTATGGTTAACACCCACAACCAAAGACAATGATGAAAGGAACCGAGGGGGAGGTCTTGAGCCCGCAACACCCTCCTAACCACTGTGTGCTCTTCCCTCCCCCATGCAGGGAAGCCGCAGGGGGGCTCTGTGACTACCCAGCTCCCAGGAAAGCTATTCACTGACTTCGAGGCCTGGGACCCCCACAGATCCCAGGGAAGGCGCCCCGAAACCCAAGGTCCTAAATATTGCCACTCTTCCTTTGATGCCATCACTGTAGGTAAGACGGTTCCACCCATGCATTGCTTCCTCTTCCCTCCTCCCCACATTCCAGGGGTCTCCAGAGCTGGAGTTCAAGGGGGAATATAAATGAATAAATCCAGATATTCCAGCCACAGGGATTCTGCAAGGTAGCAAGCCCATGCCAAGCAAAACACTACTTTCTCCTTCCACCCCAACTGTGCCCGCTGCATCCTCTCTGGTCAGCTTGGGAGGCTGGGTTCTAGGAATGCACCTTCCCTGGAAGGAAGGCAGGAGACGGGTGGTCACTGCTCAACTCTCTCTCGTCTCTCTGGGCAGACAGGCAGCAGCGACTGTACATTTTTCAAGGGAGCCACTTCTGGGAGGTGGGGGCTGATGGCAATGTCTCAGAGCCCCACCCGCTGCAGGAAAGGTGGGCCGGGCTGCCCCCCAACATTGAGGCTGCCGCAGTGTCACTGGAGAATGGAGACTTCTACTTCTTCAAAGGTACCAACCCTGGGGCAGATGAGAACATTGAGACCTACAGAGGAAAGATGTCCTGCCCAAGGTCAAAAGAGGGGAGGCACCTCCATTCCAATCCCAACTGTGGCCTGGGACACTCTACCAGGAGATTCCTTTAGTGGTGGATTGGGGAGGGCGGTGTCCAGGTTGTTCTAGGGCAGTGATGGTGAACCTTTTGAGCTCGGCGTGTCAGCATTTTGAAAAACCCTAACTTAACTCTGGTGCCGTGTCACCTATAGAAATTGTTTGATATTTGCAACCATAGTAAAACAAAGACATATTTTTGATATTTATTTTATATATTTAAATGCCATTTAACAAAGAAAAATCAACCCAAAAAATGAGTTCACGTGTCACCTCTGACACGCATGTCATAGGTTCGCCATCACTGTTCTAGAGGGAGAGGGTGGGAGAATCCCAGAGAAGACTCTAGAGCAGGCATGTCAAACTCCGTGGCCGGCAAGTTTGACATGCTTGCTCTAGGGAAGAGAGGACCACTCCTGAGCTCTGCGATTCTGCAAAGTCCTGCCTTCCTTGGAATCCTGGCTGCAGGAGGTTGGGCGTGTCACTTAATTGTTGGAGCTTGAATTTTTTGAATGGGGAACACAATCCCTCAGGTTTGTTGGGGAAGAAGGATGAAAAGAACATACTCTCTGAGCAGTGTGCAGTATGTTACTTCAGTAAACAGTGTTCATTCATTCATTCATTCATTCAACAAGTATTGAGTGCCTTCTATGGCCTGGACTCGGTTGGAGGGGTTGGGATACAGTCGTGAACAAAACTCCCTGCCCTCCTAGAACTGCTGGGAGTCATGGCAATGAAGGGAGCCCCTGGCCTTCCCTGGAGCCCAGTCCTCACCCAGGGAGAGTGCCCCCTGCTACCCAGGGAGGGGCTAGACATGTTCCTTTAGCGCTATCTGCCCTCTGCTGACACCTGCTGGAAGCCCAGGCCACAACAGTCCCTCCCCGAGGGTTCATAACCAAATATTAGTATGATCCATTTTATCACAAGTACTAACCACCTTGGGCTCCAACGCGAGAAGGAACAGAGGTACAGGGGGACAGAGTTGGGGTGGAGGCCCACAGGTGAGAGCTGCCAGCTCACCCTGGCTCTCCCAATGCCCCGCAGGGAGCCGGTGCTGGAGGTTTCGGGGCCCCAAGCCAGTGTGGGGTTCTCTACAGCTGTGCCGGGCAGGAGGCCTGCCTCGCCACCCGGACGCAGCCCTCTTCTTTCCTCCTCTGAGCCGCCTCGTCCTCTTCAAGGGTGCCCGCTACTATGTGCTGGCCCCAGGGGGGCTGCAGGTGGAACCCTACTACCCCCGAGGCCTGCAGGACTGGGGTGGTGTCCCTGAAGAGGTCAGCGGTGCCCTGCCCCAGCCAGACGGCTCCGTCATATTCTTCAGGGATGACCGCTACTGGCACCTGGACCAGACCAAACTGCGGGTGACTGCCTCGGGCCGCTGGGCCACAGAGCTGCCCTGGATGGGCTGCTGGCATGTGAACTCGGGGGGCGCCCTGTTCTGAAGGCACCCCCACCTCATAGTGAACTTTGGGTGCTCTCATGGCCAACGTGTGTCCCCTGCCCCAGGGGCAGAGCCTGTCTTGGAAGCCTCTGAGCCCCCCTGCAGAAGACACAGCAGAGAAGCTGGTTGGCGTTTGTTCCCTGGAGAGTGTGGCACTCATTGTCTGGGCGCTGTTCCCCAGGACATGGAAGTGGGGCCGGGATCAACCCCAGGAGAAGCCAAAAAGGATCCCAGACTCCACAGCCTCTTCCCCAAGGACTCTCTCTTCCCTCGGGCCTGGGGATTTTGTTTTTTCTGCTAAAGGTGCAGGTCCTGCCTATGAGGCAGCAGCACTGGGCAACCAGGGCGGATGGACCTTCCGGTTGAGTTCTCGGAGAATTGTGTCATATTTAACAGAGGCCCCGCCCCCAGAAAGCCTGGATGGGTTGGGTACGAGGGTCTCCCACCTCGAGGCCCTGAGTGGGGTCAGGACCCAGAGCAGGAGGGAGACGGATGCAGTGCAGCTCTTTGTGGGAGGCTGGAATAGAGGGGTCCCCAGCTGGTGGGCCTGGAGGCACAAACCAGCCTTCTCTGGAAAAGCTTCCAGGGAGAGCAGGTGGGCAAGGATGCTGGTGAGGTGGAGACTGTTCTTTCCTCTGACCAAGCCAGGACTGGCAGGTTGTGTGTGAGAGTGTGTGTGTGTGTGTGTGTGTGAGAGAGAGAGAGAGAGAGAGAGAGAGAGAGAGAGAGAGTGTGTGTGTGTGTGTGTGTGTGATGGGAAGAGGGAGCCTATGTCTCCTCAAAAAGCTAAATGTCCTCGCCCCTCCCCACTCAGGCCAGATGGAGAAGCCCCAGTGGCAGCGGGAGGGCAGGGGCCTCTCTGGGGGGCCTCACTGCTGCCCGCAGGCGCTGGGGGCTCTGCAGGCTCTGCAGGCTGGGGGAGGCTTGTGTTCACAGTGGCTCCATCCTCCAGGCCACACACACAGCGTTCCAGGCGCTCCTCCTGGCTGGTCGGGAATAGCTGGGATTCCTACAGAAGGAACCAGCTCCCCCTGGCACTCTGCCTCCGGCCCCAGCCAGCCTCAGGGCTTTGGCATCTGGCTCTGACCCTCCCCCCTCCCACCTGCCGGGCCGCATTTGCACCCACGGGGCCCTCCGCACATTGACCTCAGCCAGACCGGGGCTCCAGGGGACAGGGAGAATGGTATGGCAAAGTGCAGCCCTCAGCTTCCCACGGGAATTCCTGGCCCTGTGCCTTCATTTTTTCCTCCGCGCAGTGGGGAAAATGACCTGTGACTGCCCTTGGGTGCCTGTGTTTTTGCTCCGCCCAGTCCTTGGGGAGGCGGAGGGAGGAGGCTCTACGCCTGCCTTTTTCCCTCTGGTCCCTCCGGCTTGAACTTCTGCAGAAGGGAAGGCGGGTCACCCTCACCATCCTCACCAGGGCCTCCTCGCTCCCGCCTCAAGGCGCTGACACTGCTTACGGCTTTATTGACCGATTT